CAATCAAATGTTTCTCCCACAGAGCAGCTGGTGGGTTCATACTGCCAACCTTCCAGTTAGCAGCCAAATGCTTAACCACTGCATCGCCAGAGCTCCTTGGTGGTGAGCTAGCATCTTTTAATGCTCCTTCCATCTCTAATATTCTGTGATTTTTTTTCTTCTGCTGAAAATCTCATCCATTGTAATTTTAGGAATTGGTTCTTTAATTTTATTTCACCATCGCTATTTAGTGCCTTTTAAAAGTGCCATGTAAGCAACAACAACCAAAAACTATATGTGTGGATTCAAATGTATTTATGCATATATGTTTATAGGTATGTATATGTGTATAGCTGTGTGCATATATACATGTAGCCATATATATATGCATATACATGTGTGTGTGCATGTGTGTATGCTCACATATATAATAAAGCACATGGGGGCACAGTTACAGATACATCATAGACATAACCAAATACCTCATGGGATTGGATTACTGGGGTTGAAGGTTTAGGATCATAGTCCTGTAGGACAACTCAGTCATTTGGCATAATATAGTTCACAAAGTTTATGTTCTACATCTTAGTTTGGTGAGTAGCATCTATGATCTTAAAAGCATGCAAGTGGTCATCTAAGATACAACTCTTGTTCTCTTCCTGTCTGGAGCAAAAGAGAAAGAAAGAATGAAAAGTCAGAGAAGAAAGTAGTACTTATCATTTCAAAATGTATTCAATATAAAAATTATTAATGAGATATTTTACATTATTTACTGTGTTGGATTGGGTTCTCTAGAGAAACACAAAAACCAGCAAAGTATATATATATATATTTATAGAGAGAGAAAGAGAGAGAGAGAGAAATTTATCTTAGATAAATGGCTCACAAGCATGTAGAAGCCGACAAGTTCAAACTGAAAAGTTCGTCTCTGGAGGGGGATGGGGCCGGCTTTCGCACGCACGGCAGAGGAGTTCAAGTCACAAAGTTCATCTCTGAAGAGAGATGGGGCCTGGAGTCGTCTGGTTCCCGTAAGCACAGTAAAGCCGAGAGAATCAAGCTGACACGCAGTGCGCTGGTCACTGTTCCCAACAAAGAAAGAATCCGAAAACCTCCAGGGCGAGCAGCGAGCTGTTCGCTCCAGGAAGTATATAGTCTGGAATGCCGTTCTTCCAGTTTGTCCCTGGGATAGTATTGCAGGTAGGCCACACCCCTGGGGAAACTCCCCCTAGACCGACCGGCCGCTTAGAATGCAGTCATGTGATCCATCATGGGAACCACCACTCACAACTGGAGTCCAGCCAAGTTGACACATCTTCAACTATCACATTTACTAAGTCTTCTAAATTTAGTGTGCACTTTACACTTGCAGAACATTGAAACTTGGACCCCTTAACATATCTAGTGCTCAGTAGCCACATGTAGTTATTGTTACCTTATTTGACTGCCCAAGTCTAGGCACAGAGTAGCAAATTCAGTTTCTTAAACATGCAAACCAATAACTTAAGTAACTGGTTGTCCAGGACCATGAACTGAAGAGAAGAGAATATGCCCCATCTAAAAGAGGACAGTGGATAATCAGTCCATGCTAGCTGCTGCTATTATAAGAATGGCTTCTGCGAAGATGAACCCTTTTGCACATGGAGTATTCCATTGTCAGTGAAGGCAAACATTGATAGATGGGTGGATAGATGGGTGGACAGGCTGAACTATTAGGTATGTCTGTGCAGGGGAGAGTGAGCCCACGACCATGTATAGGGTTGGCAGACAATGTTTCAGTGTATTTCAGACAGTGTATTTGTATGTTCTGTAAGAATTACCAGGTATATAGTAGAGCTGACAAGGGACAAGGTTGTACACAGCCAGCTACCCAGAGGGAGTGAGTAGTGAGACCTGTGGGCTCGGGGCCATAGTTGCAGGGGACATCAGGCTCAATTGGCATAACATATTACACTGTAGCATAGTGCCTAAGGCACTTAACTGCTAACCAGAAGGCTGGCGGTTCAAACCCACCAGCCACTCCTCAGAAGGAAGATGAGGCAATCTACTTCCGTAGTGATACTGCCTCAGAAACCCAAGGAGGGGTCACTATGAGTCGGGTCCCACTCGAGAGCACATAACAACAACAACAACAACATTACACAAAAACATTTTTCCACATCCTACTTTGGTGAATAGCACCTAGGATCTTAAAAGTTTGCAAGCAGCTATCTAGATACAACGATGGGTCTCTCCTTGTCCAGAGCAAAGAAGAATGAAGAAAACCAAAGATGTATGGAAACAATTAGTCCAAGTAACTGGTACACCATATGATCCTCAGCCTATACAACTATGAGACCAGAAGAACAAGATGGTGCCCAGCTACCACTGTCAACCACTTGGAGGGGTGATCTATATAGGAGATCCTGGATAGAGTGGGAGAACAATGTGGAACAAAACTCAAAGTCATTAAAGAAGAAGAAGAAAAAAAGGACCAGGTTTGCTGGTCTGATTGAGCCTGATGGAACCCCTGAGACTGACCCCTAGCTACCCTTCTGGAATTGAACCCATACCTGTGGCTTCCAGCCAAACAAAAGACAGGCATATGAGCTGAACATTTTCATTAGGTAGATACACTCCTTGGAGAGACAGATCATGGGAGAACAGAAGGTCAGTGTATGTACAGGGAGACAGTTCAGCAGGCAGGAGTGCATGGGAGGGAAGGACACAGGGAAGAGGTAAATATGGAGATGGAAGTGGGAGGGGAGCTGTTGCATTGTGGGAAATTGCAGTCAATGTCATGAGACAAAGTATATGTGAGCTGCTGTATGGAAAGTGAATTTGTATGTAAACTTTCACCCAAATCACAATACAAACTTTTTTAAAAATGGCTTCTGGTGATGCCAATTTTTTAATTGGAATTTTGTGTGAACTCTTCTAGTGGAGACAGCCATTTAAGATTTGCTTAAAATACTGATCTGATCTAAGCATTCCTTTGGGTTGTATCCATCCTTCAGACAGCCATTGTGCATTTTGCTCATGGGCATTGTGGGCTAATCAGATGTGATTCAGTCCTCAAAGAAATCAATAGACAGGATGTGCATATTAATAACTAATATAAGATTAAAAAAAAAAAAAAAAAAACTCACTGCCATCAAGTCAGATCCGACTCATAGAGACCCCTCCTTGTGTTTCCAAGGTGGTATGTCTAAAGAACTAGATATCCCAATTTTCCTTCCAAGGAGTGGCTGGTGGGTTTGAACCTCCAGCCTTCTGGTTAGCAATCCAGTGCCTTAGTCACTAATGCAGTAAGTAGTGTAAGAAAACTATAGGTAACAGATCTTGATTTTTCAGAAGAATAGAAGGCCAGGGCAATTAGAAAATAGTCTACAGAAGATTTGGCAGTTGATCTGGGTGTCGCCACATGTAAGAGTGTATCCTTGAGGAGACATGTATTCTGGTTAGCTAGAACAGCTCAGAAATGGGAAAGCATAGGTTGGATGAGGGAAATAGCAAACCATTTGGTGGCTATAGACATATTTCAAGTTAGGGGAGGATAAGATAAAGCCCTACATCTGATCAGCCTCCCCTCCCCCTTCCCTCAAAAACCTCCCCCAAATAAAACCATACTGTGTGAATAAAGAGTGCAAAAGCAGCTGTAAGGCAAATCCTCCAGGCTTCTCTGCCTCCAGCTATATTTGAATAAAAAAATCCAAACCCAATACCATCCAGTCAATTCTCACTCATAGCAACCCCCATAGTGTTTCCAAGGCTATAAATCTTTATGGAAGCAGACTGCCTTGTCTTTCTCCCATGGAGTGGCTGGTGGGTTTGAACTGCAGACCTTTTGGTTAGCAGCCTAATGCCTTAACCGCAACACCACCAGAGTCCTCAAATAGTTTGCCTGTGTAAAAACTTTCCTATACAGATATTGTTGTTAGCTACTGTCCAGTGAACAAAACACTGCCTGGTCCTGTGCCTTCACCATGATCAGAGGCAGATCAGACCATTGTGATCCATGTGGTTTTCAGTGAATAATTTTTCAGAAGCAGATCATCAGGCCTTTCTGCATAGTCCATCTTAGCCTGGGAGCTCTCTGAAGCCTGTTCAGTATCAGCAACATGCAAGCCTCCACTGACAGAGAGATGGTGGCTGTGCATGAGGTACATTGGTGGGAATGAAACCCCCGTCTCCCCTAAGGAAACAAGAGTTCTACCATTGAACCTCCACTGTCCCCACTGTATAAATGTAGTCACCCATATTCATCCAGAGTTACTGGAGTGAAAGACATACCATTGGAACAGCTATTTCAAGGCCTCCAACTGTATAGGGCATGTTGTACACGTTCAGATCCTCCCAGATTTGGAAACATAAACTTACTGGCTTTAAAGTATCTATGCATGGATATGAATTATAACATTTGTGCAGGTTTCCCTCACTATCCTAAAGAATGTTCTTATGAGACCTTTCATAAGCCAAAAATGGCATAAAGGGAAGATTCAGTTACCATTGATTTATATGAAAAAAAAATTTTGATTATTCTCAGACCCCAAAAATAACTCAATAATGAAAACAGGAATTTTCATGAAAATATGAATACAAAGCCTATGTGTAAAGTCAGAATAATGTTATGTACAGTGTAGTTCCCAGGGAAGGAGTTTGGCAGCGCCACTCTCAGTTTTCAGGGTGTGCATTGCCTCTCTAAAGGCTCACTGCAAAACAAATGCTGAACACTAGTTTCACTTTTACCTTGTTTCATAAAAGTGAACATCCTCTTCAGATTAATTTTGTTTAGCAGAAACAGGCAGTAATGTAGGTCTTTCGTAAAGGTAAAGTGGTGTAAACTGAACTTTCAGAAAGCAGGGCAAACCTGTACATAGTTAATATTGACTTTAATTCAAGCAAAGTGCATAGTGTTTTATGTCGGTACCTGTTGCATAATAGGTACTCAATATGTCATTTCTGTTTCTCGCTCTTCCATTATTCATTATAGTGTTAATTTTTTAAACAATTTCCAACTTACGTTTCTTCGTTCTCTTTTAAAGGAAAGATATAAGGAAGCTGAGGAAATTTATCAGGCTGGAATAAAGAACTGTCCAGACAGCTCAGATTTACACAACAACTATGGAGTTTTTTTAGTTGATACTGGTGAGTGAAATTAAAGTGAACCTGTTCTGTTGAGATTAGATAACACCATCTGTCAAGGAAAATGGCAATAACCCAAATAATGCCTCAGAAATAAAATTCACTGGGCTTGGCCGGATGTTCACTCTGTTGACAGTCACATTGTCCCGCTGGGCTGTGCATTATCTAAATCTTCAATCTCAGCTCAGTAAAATCTTCCCATTTCTTATAGTTGCTGTCCTGGTTGTTGTTATGTGCCCTTGAGTCAGCTTGACTCATAGCAACTCCTCCTTGGGTTTCCGAGGCGACGGTATCACTGCGGAAGTAGGTTGGAAGTAGGTCATAGTGCCAAGGAAAACTCCCCAGGTGCAGGAAGTAGCCTTGATGATTTAATGAGCAGCTCTGTCTTTGAGTTATCATTTATACCAGCTTATAAATCTCTGATGATGAAATGTTCCTCTACAGTGCTACACATTCTGCATCTAAATCTAGCCCTGGTGCATGGTAGATGCTTTTCCACAATTGCTAAAAGCCTCCAGAATTGTTTCACTGTTCCTTACTTAATGTACATTATGGAAACTAGATTATTATAATTGATAAAGTGCTCCTGTATGACAGGTGCTATATAAAATACACTCACTCCATCTTATGTAATGCAAAACTTTACTGGGCAAGGATTCTGTTTTCTTTATTATTTGTGCAGAGCCCTAGATACTATTGGCATGTAATGAATACTTATAAATAATGAAAAGAAAGATATTTGAATTTAATAAAAGTACCACTTTGTTCTTGTTCACTATTAGACTAGGTGCCCTGTGGTAAAAATTCTCATTTAATTATTTTTCAATATTAAGTGCTTGAAAGGGTTTTTATTTCCAAAGATCTTTGAAGCATGTGTGTTTTATTCAAAATCAATTTTCACTCTGCTATACCTAGAAAACTTACTTTGTTTTTGCATGTAATATTGTTATAGAGTGCCACCTGCTGGTTTATTAGCAATCTAATAACAAATTAAGTGTCAAAGGTCTAAAGATAGAAGAGACCTCCAGTTATCATGATTTAACCTTCTTAGTTCTGCTTCAGCAACAAACAGCCTCCACCCTCCCGACAAAAAGAAGCTCATTGACCACTCCAAACACCTTTCCACTACTAAATTTTCTCATTGTATTTGTATTTTCATACTTGTGAAACCTCTCCAATTCCCAGTGACCTCTATATAGATTTGTGATCTTTTTAGACACCTCTCAGTCAAACTTGGATTCAAAGAATGCGCATTTGAAAATATTGCTATGCAGATAATAATAACCTCATTTCATTTAGAACTCTAGACTCTTCTAAAGTTCACTCTCTTAGATATAATTTCACTAGGAAGCTGCTTTGGAGAAATTTTGAGAGAGACTTGATTCTAGTTCCAGCCATCACCTTCACTTGCCCTGATAGCTTCATCAAATCACTTACAATCTTTTTACTTTAGCTTCTATATCTATAAACTGGTAATTTGGCTTTAGTTTTATTATTATTATTATTATTATTATCTCTTAAGCCTAAAAGCCACTCCTCGGAAGGAAGGTTGGGCAATCCTACTTCCGTAGTGATACTGCCTCGGAAACCCAAGGAGGGGTCGCTATGAGTCGGGTTTGACTCGATGGCACATAACAACAACAACAACAATCCTAAGAGGCAGCTAAGTGATATCAAAATATCTGCAAAGATCATATGTAATCATGTAAATACAAGTATTTTAAAATATATTGTGCATTTGAAAAATGCAAGATGGCATCATTATTGTATTTTAAACCCCCATTAAATAAATACCACTTAAAAATACATGATTTGAAAAGAAATTTTCACAATACAGCTGACTCATTCTTACTTAAAGCAATGTCTGAATTAATATGTTTCAATACAATAATTGAGACAGATCCTTAGAAATTGATTCTGTGTGGTTTTCTTTCAATCATAACCAATGCTATTTTTTGTGTGTGTAATGAGAGACACCAATATCTTGGATAAATAACAGTCATTGATAATCTCAAAACATCATATTATCTGTGGCAATAGCCAAAAAACACTTTAACCACAACTTATGACAAATAATAAATACACTTTAGTTTTCATTCTTGGTTATTATTGTTGTTCATTGCCTTGGAAGTGGGAATGAATAATGCAATGGTCAAAAGGTAGTAGCAAAAAGAAGCCAAAATGCAAGCTAATTTACACACTGAATAATTGATGATATGACTCTGTAATAATGAGGAAGAATAATAAAAGTCAGAAGGGAGATTAAAGAGTTCAAATATTTTCTGTTTAAAGCATTTTCTGCTCTTACCCACCCATCCCTGGTGTTACAGGCTCTCCAGAAAAGGCTGTGGCTCATTACCAACAGGCCATCAAACTTAGCCCAAGTCATCATGTAGCCATGGTTAACCTGGGAAGACTCTATAGATCATTGGGAGAGAACAGTGTGGCTGAAGAATGGTACAAGCGGTAACGTTCCTTTTTTTTACTTTGTAAATTGCTCAGAGGCCTAAGCAATTTCCCATCAAATTTTTAGTTAATTGGAACAGACATGTTCTGGTAATCCAGGTAATACAGATTCTCATCTTTAAAGAGAACAATACAACAGTATAAAAAATAAATAAAAAACAAACTCACTGTCATTAAGTCGATTCTGACTCATAGTGACCTCACAGGGTTTCCAAGCCTGTAAATCTTTATAGAAGCTGAGTACTTCATCTTTCTCCCATGAAGTGGGGGTGGGTTTGAACCACTGATCTTTTGGTTAGCAGCTAAATGCTTTGACCCCTGTGCCACCACAGTATAAATGGTATCCCAATTAATGACTTTTTGCTACTAGTTAGAACATAGCTAAACCAGGGTTGGAATTTAATTCCCAAGTTAGTCCATTGTTTTATGAACACAGATTGTTGTTGTTGTTAAGTGCCGTCGAGTCGTTTCCAACTCATAGCGACCCCATGCACAGCAGAACGAAACACTGCCCGATCCCGCGCCAGCCCCA